AAGGCAATTCAGGCATCAATCAGACGTAACAAGGAAACCAACACTGTTTTGGCCAGATTGAACAGTGAACTACAGCAGCAACTAAAGGTAATTCTTTAGTCTTTGTCTGTGTAAGAGGAGAGCTTCTGAGAGCGAGATGTTAGTGATGCACAGTAACAGCCATCTCTGCAATCCAATGATAAATGTAGTAGAGGATATTCATATGAAATATTTAGCTATTCTTGTAGATCATAGAATATACCTATTTGTGGCAAGCTGTGTGAAATTACAAATCACACTTTTTCTACTACAATGCATATTTTTCAATGTATTAATTTGATTTTAGCTCCACTAAAATTTTACTTCACGTCATTAATACTAAGTTACCTGTTGTGGTCATCACATACTTTAAAAGCAGTAACAAGAAGAGCAGCTGAGGTGGTTTGTGTTCTTCTGAAGGAAAAAGCAAACCTTAAAGTCTTTAATTAATTTAATTAAGTTATTAAAGTTTAATAATTAGTGCAACATTAGTAATTTATCTGGTCAGGTATCATTGTTTTGGAGCTATCTGTAGGCATCAGCTTAATGTCTTTTGCCTGCTGTCTTTCTTACCTAAGGTATCTAATTTGAACTATCAAGATAATTTTTAAAAAATATCTTAAATGAAAACATGAATTAATAACATACTGTCTAGCATGGAAGTTGGGTCATTTGAAAAACTCAGGCCAGAATTTCACTTGTTAGTGTTTATGAGAGTCAAGGTGCATAAAATACACATAAGAGGAAAAACTGGGGAAGAAAATTGTGAGTTTCCAATATTCTTAATTCAGGTGAGAACTTACTCCCTTAACATTTTAGACTTCATTTGAAAATAGTGTTATAGTTAGGTTTGTATCTGGTTACAAATTTGGGTTTGGGTGATTTGAAAGAAAGGAAAAAATAGTAAATGGCATCAGCTTGGAGCAAAGTACTGATTTTCAATGATAAATAATTACCAGCCAACCAGTCTTCTATTCAGCTTCTGGAAGGAGTTACCGAGATTCTAGAATATAAGTTAGTCCTCAGACTGAAGCAGATTTTGATCACATGAGGAAATTTTCAGTACTCATTCTCTGTGGACTGTCAGTAGAAAATCTTTCTTTCGTAGGATGTTCTTGAAGAGAGAATCTCCCTGGAAGTCCAACTGGAACAACTTCGACCCTTCTCTCACCTCTAAGCCTACTGCCGTTAACTGTGAATTTACTAATTTTGAAAGGGATATTGGTTTCAAGGCCTATTTAAATATCCATGCATCTAGCTCAGTGCACTCTATTCTGCATTAAATGTTGTGGTTCTGTTTTGTCAATTTGTCCACTTTTGTATTTTAAGTATTTTAATTTCAGTACAGAGAGAAAAAAACAAACAAACTACTTTTTCCTTGAATGTGACACTGCCTCTCACATCTTTTTCTGTGGGCATCCGTGATCTTTGTTGGACTTCAGTTTGCAGAGTTTGTCGCCAAAATTTCCAACTGGATTTTTTTTTTTTTCCTGTTGAAACATCTTTGCAGATGAGGGTTGCTAATCAGTTGATTTTAACCTTTAAGCACATAAACTCTTCATTCACTATGGCATTTATTTTGTTGTACCAGAAAAGAGACAAACTACTAATCTGTCATCAGCCAATGTTACTTCCCAAGCTGCCTTTGACAATTGGAAAGTTGTTCACAATTCTAGAAAGCCTGCCTCTTTGCAATTCCCCAGCTTACTCAGGTTAGGAGAGTTCTTGCAGGCTGTTTGCCATATCAACTGGATTGAATTTTGTGATTTTTGTTGCATACATTATAGAGTATGTAACCACAGATTGCCAGGTGTTCACATTTTATCCATTCACAATCCTGATTCAGCCATATGCATAGAAACACTTATGGCACAATTGGTAGTCTATCAAACAGGTTTTCTTTAGTTCTCCCTTTTGTGAAAAAGTTGAGTGTAGGTCCCAAACATTAATTGCACATTATCTAAGCACCACCTGTAATTGCATGTCTCACATGTTACCTTTTAATAGCAGATCACATCCACCAGTCTTCACTATAACAAATTGTATTGTCAAGTAATGTGTCAATACCTCTATAAACCTCTAATTCCCAGAAAAAAAAAAAAAATTATATATATTAAACAAAAAATCAACAGTTTTGCTTTTTAGGAATTCTGGGGTACCTTCTGTCATCTTGTTTCCAGGCCTTACTTCTCTGGCATATAGACAGGCTTCACTATTAACAGAGTTCCTTGAGTGTATCTTGCTCTTCAGGTTGATGTACTGTATTAGGATTTGTTGTATATTGTACGATACACACATTTTGATCTCATATGTAAATTTGCATTAATTGCTGACTAACAGCAGATATTCTATTTAATGGCTTCTTCTGGCTGTGGGATCATAGATGTTTAACTGCATGGATGTATCTCTGCAGAATCAGAACTAGCAGTTGTGTGATTTTTACACCAATAAAACAGCACAATATTTTAATTTTGTTGATTCATCTTTACCTGGGAATTGAAACTCATTCAAATAAGGGGGAGGGTTTTATTGCAGGTTTGCAGGTAATTTTTTGTAATTTTGTGGCATGTACAAGAAGTGATTGATCGTAATCCTTTCGCCATTTTCTTCCCTCATTTTTACCTGTTGATCAGAAGTGATTCTCTTGGTAATCTGTGGCTATACTCCTTTTGTATCCTTCTATAAGCAAATTTAATACAAATGTAGTTTCTAAAAAGTAAATGTTAGTATTGACTTGGGTCAAATATATTTCTAGTTCTTTAGGCTTAATATCTGGTTTGATTTCCTCAGAAATTCCTTTAAAAATTAAAGATAAATCATCCTCTGTTAGGAGTCCTTAACATCACTGTCTCACTTCTGTGCATAAATGAAATTCTTTTAACATCTGCTTCCCTTCCAAAAGGATAGGTCAAGTCACATTTACCACTGGTTATGCTGTTACGGTGAAAAACAAGTGTTTCACTTTCTGGTTATCATAAACAGACTGGATAATTGGGGTGAATTTTTACTACTTTAACTATTCCAACATTTTTTCAAATGTCATGGAAGTGTTAGAAATGGTTTATGTATATAATTAAAAGCAAAATTCTCTGGTATGAATGGATGTCACAGTTGCATGAAAGATGGTAGTTTCTGTTTGCATGTAAAGGGATTAAGAAATGATAGCTAAATGGGCACAAAGGTGACATATAAATTTATATATAAAGTGCAAGACTTAGACTTCAGAAAATTATATGTGAATAGGGAAATGGGAACAAAAACCCAGCTAAAGAAATTACCCCCCCCCCCCAAAGTAAAGGAAAAAAACTTTAAAGTTGATGGACTGATCACTTCTATTATTAACTAACAAGTAGCAGGAACAGAGTGGAAAAGTTGTTCCCTTTTTTAAAAAGTGGGAAGAATGAGTCACTGCAGTTAAAGAATGTTGATCTTTTGAACCAACCATATCTTGTCCATAGTTTATTTTAAAGTTTAAAATACATTTTTAAAATAGCACTATTTTCATATTAATATTTAAGTATTAAGCCTGTGTTTATAGCAACAGGATTCTTAAATCAGAATTTAACATTTTAAGCTTAAATGTAAAAAGTCTTTTACATTCAAATGTTACATGTACATACGTATTTCTCTAACATCCATATCTTCCTAGTAGAATGACAAGTTAGTGTCTCAAGTGAAGAACTTCGGCATTCTGAACCTTTTTGTGTCTTGCCAACAAGTCTATTTTTAAGAATTTTTGTGGATTACTTTTAATGCATCATTCTGTACATTTTAAACCAGTTTTTCATTATCAGAAGACCTTCTAACTGAAAACCTACTTAATGTCTTAAGAACATCACTGCCAATGATGTTCAGAAGTTACCTCAGTAATGTAACCCAACTTTAATCCCTTATAAAATTATCTCCCTGTCTTCTCCATTTCTTTGATCTTGATCCAGCTACTTGATGCATTCTTTTTTATGAACTTAGATTGTAAGCTCTTTGGGGCAAGGAATTATGTACAGTACAAAAGAGGTGCTCTCTCTATTGCAAGTGTAAATGTAGACTACTAAATAGTATGGAGTGTGATTCATATACCCAGCTGAGATGGATGGACAGCAGCAGGCCTTTCTGAAACACCTGGAAAATGTTTCTCACTGGACTTTGTCATTGGAAGAGTGTTTCTTCTCCTTTGATTTGCGTTTCTTTTGTGTCTCCTAATAATGTGCCTCTTTCTTCATTCCACCTGCTTTGGAGTTGCTTTTTTCTCCATTCATTACCTATCTTTGGACTGCAGAGAAGATTTCCAAAATGCCAAGGTAAAAAGCTGAAAAGCCACTTTGTTTTGAGCAGTATTCAAAGTCTATCTAATGTAAACGAGTATTTTCAATTCATTTGTACTTCACATGCACCTAATTTTCCATGCAATTGTGATGAACTAGATGATCTCGTATTACTGAAAATGTCTTATGTGGGATAAACAAAGTTGAGGTTATAAAAACTTAAAACTAAAGAAAATAAATTTGGAGCATTGTTTCTTGTGTGACATGTCTCTGTCCCTTATGGATAGGGTGTGCTGTGTTTCTCTATGTTTAGAGCAGAGTTGAGAATTACTCTTCTGGTTTCAGCTGTGCAGTTTGTCTCTAAATGTCACTTTATGGGTGGCCTAGCCTTAATCACTTTCTTTCTAAAACGGTAAAAAATAGTAAATCATTGTTTCCTGACTCCCAGCTCATTCTAGTCTTAGTTTCTAGTGGAATGTAGTTTCATGAAATTGTAATGTGTTGCACACATTACTTCCAAGTTAGTAATAACAATGCAATTCTTACTCTGTGGGGAAGATGAAAAAATAACTTGTGTATTTTGAATATATTTGGATGCTTATGCAGCATGCTTGTCTTGCTGTGTATATTGATGTACCAGTCATACAGCTGTCTAGAGGAAAACACATGAAAACCAAGGATTTTATTAGCATTTAATTTTTTTTTTTGTTATTAGATACGTTCTCATAATAGTCTTAACAAACTAGGGATTGTATAGGGAAGATGTTAATAATGTCTATATACCAATAACCAAATAAGACAATACAGGGTTGTCCTGATAGTTAATACACAAGCAAAATATAAGCTTCATAGGAGTCTTTGAATCAATTGCTTTTGTTTGGCAGTGTGGAGGGGGGAAGTTGAATACTGCATAATTTCCTTTCTGTAAAATATTTATTTAAATTGGCAAAATGGGCTTTAAAGGTGCAATTTCTGCTTTAAAGGTAGATTGTACATTATTTGTACCTAGAGTGTATACTGATTGTACACTAGTTGTACCTGGTTGTACGCTATTAGTGTGTTTGAAAGTGATTTCACATTACTTTTTTCCAGCCTACCATTATATAGGTATTCATTGTCTTGCATTTAAAACATTTGCATTTAAAACAGCCTTTGTTTAGTTATAATACTAAAAAATTTGGAATTGTGACTCTATGAAATGGGAAATTTGTGATCTCACAGCTTAAATCCAAAGCTTTAAGAAGACTCTTTAGTACAGTTTATCACACTTCACCAGCATAATGACCTACAGAAAGCTAGATGAATTCTGTTTCATCTCTGGTAGAATATATTCTTGACACTTTTACAGATATTGATGCATTTGATCTGGAAGCAGCTGAAATTACTCTTGTTTTGACTGGTCTTGTTTATGAGAGGCCTACAAAATTAACAGAACATAAATAGTAAAAGCGATTTAAGCTGACTTTCAGTGGTATGTTGACAGAGACCCAAATTGTGGCAATAGTCCTGTTGAACCATATGTGGCTATATTGTTTCCCAGTCTGTGGAGGAGGTCACAGAGATGGGAGATGCATCATACTCTGCAGGGCATGTACACTCTTCAGTGTATCCCTTAGAGCTGCAGTGATGCCTTTTGCTTTCTGTCACTTAACCTCAGAGGTCTGACTGAATTTCATTCTTTGGCTCAAGCACGGCTGCATTTAAACTGACAGGAAAGGGGATGGTCCATGGGGTGGAACGTGTTTATTGTAAGAAACTGCATTCCAGATCAGGGCTGTCTTCTGCAAGGAGCCTGTGGTTTTTGGTATCCAACGAAAAGGCAAGTAAGGAACACTAGCATTTGAAAGATTGATTCCATATTGAGAAAATAAATTGATTTCATATTGAAAATCAATTATTTTCCTGACAGCTGGGGGAGCAGAAAGTGGAATAAGCATTACAACAGGTACTGTGAACACTTACCTAAGGGCTTCTGAAGGCCTAGCATCCCTGACTGGCTGTGTAAGACTTAGCAAGAAATTTATGTATAATAAGGAGCTTCAGCAATATATGATTTCCCTGTAGAAGTCAAAGGAAATACTTTGGGAATCCCTGTAACTTAGTTGTGTGTTTCATTAAAATGCTGTGAAATTCAGCACTCTACTAAGTGCTTTTGTGCCTTATTTTGCATAGCTTGAGCTAATAGAAAGCTTGAGTTAGTCAAGGTGTGGAAATACAGTGTATTTCAAGAAAAAGAGGAAAATAATTTTGTAGGCAGTTGTGATTTCTTGTATTCTATCAGAAAATGCAGAAGTGCCGTGCCTCAAGAATGTCACTTGTTTTTTTCTGTTACATATCCTGCCTTTGGAAGAAGAGTGGTTCAGTTTATAACAAACCTTTCTTCTAGAGCTTCAATCCATTGTCTTTCACTGCTCTCATGAAGGAACTTGGTCACCTGCCTACTCATCAGAAGGAACCAAGAGATCATAGAAGAATCAAGAGGTCTTTTTGCTGTAGAAGGGTACCTAAAAGGAACATTTTCCCTGGTTTACTCTGCACTTCATCTTTCAGAATAAAGTAGCATTAAAGCAAGAACATTCCTGTGAAAAAGCAGTAATCATTCACATGTAATTTTTTTCAAAATTAGGAGGCTGGTAATTTTGATGGATTATATGGTTTTTACCATATGCTTCCACAGTGAACTTGCTGACCAAAAAAACATTAAAACACTAAAATTGATAACATCTCAGAACTTTCCATATCAAAAGTACCAATTTTGTCAGTGTTTTTAATGCTTTTTTCTTGTAGCTTTTTAGAACGTGGATTTCCTTTTAGATTTTAAAACTTTTTGCAAATACCTCTTCATGTAGATTTTTTTTCTCTTGGGGAAAAGAATTTTACATATTGATTTAAGTGGGTTTGCATCTCAACTGTCACAGCTCAAAACTGCCCTGATGTGAATTAATCCAAATTGAGTACTGTCTAAAATTGAAAGTAGATGTAATTTGGATTATAAAATAGGATTTTGGGTTTAATATTTTCATGAAGATGGCATAGATTTTTGTCCTAACATACACCTATTTTCTTTCACATATACATTGCAATTTTTAAAGTTCTGTATAAATACTTCTTGTATTAGCACTTGCTTAACTGTTAGACTGTATCTGTTCTAGTATTTTGGCTTGATGCTGCAATATTGCATTGATCAGCGTGATCAGATAATTTGCAAAGTACTCATTCATTCATTCTGGTCCCAGCCTCTCAATTTGTGAGGAATTGTTATTGGTTATTTCATGTTCAGGTTTTTGTTGGCTTAATACGATTAAAGAGCTGTAAGTTGGAGGTCTTATATAAATCTTAGTATTTCTAAATAGTGGAGAAATTATGGTATATCACAATGACTCATTTTTAAGATTCAAAATTTATATCTAACATCAACTACTAAAAACATACGGATTTATTTATTTATTTTTACTTAGGGGAGAGAGATGTACAACTCTTGTGGATGTGTGCCACAAGTCTCTTTGTAAAGCTTTATTTCAGCAAAGTTTGTTGCTGATTCAGAAATCTATAATGTTTAGTCTCATTGCAGAATGAATCCTTCCCAAAGGAGCACTCCTTATTTTCTTTGACATGTTTCCTCCTTGGGTCTTCCTGTTGGCTTCTGCTACCAGATGAGTCCCTGGGACTGCAGGTGTGCTCCAGTGTGGCCAGCACAGCTGCGAGTGGCAAAGGACCTTTGCATCTCATGCCACATCTTGCCAGGGACAAGCCTGGTACTGTCCCAATCTCCCATCCCATCTATTGTAAAGCTCTGCCAGTGAGCCCTGCTCCTTCCTGAGCAAAGACTCTCCTCCCTCACTGAGAAGGATGAATCCCATCTGATGTCAGCAGGCTGGTGCTGCATAGGCCATTGCATTGTCAAAACCCCAAAATTTCAGCAGTGACACCAGGCATTAAGCCATATATTAATACACTCAGCCCATCTGTTTATTCCAGTGGTGTTGCCTCGAACTGGAAGTATAGAGGAAAATGTAAGTTGTGTCCCAGATTCCCCACAGCAATGCAGCAAAGAGCACCTTCTTCCAAACACCAAGACCCATTTATCAGTGTGAGTTTTTAAACAACAACACTGGCCTAAACTCACACCGGTAAATATATTAAACTTTTAATACACTTCAGTCTCCATAAACAACTCTTCAGGAAACAACAGAAAAGGAGCTCATTTTCTGCAGCCACTTACATACTTTCATAATTACAAAAGACTTTTCACAAATACATTACTGTAGATTTTTCTTCTTTCCCTGCAGGAGCCTAGAACTGTGATTAGTTCATTACCACATAAAAGAGTTCAGTATCTCAAAAGTCTTGCTACAAAATTTTCTTGTATGAATCCAGAAGTAAATAAACACCTGCCATTAATGGACTGTATCAAAGACACAAAGTTGTATCCAGGAGGAGGTAAGGGAAAAAGAATTCCTTAATTTCTCAATTATTTACAATTAATGCATTCTTTGTGACTTGTAATTGCCCATGGGTTTAAAGCAATTGAAGGAAAAGGGGCTAATTTTTGTATAATTCTAAACAGCTGCTTGAGAAAGGTATGTTCTTATTACTATGTCTGTATCTGAAATTATACATTCTGTCTTTGCATAAATTGCTACAGAAATGAGATCAAGACATCCAACACATTTGTAAGTGATTTGAAATGTGTTTGAAATAGTAAGCCTAAGCAGGTTGAAGTCAAGAGCCCAGAAATGGGAAAGATCTGCCTCTAATACAGAATATTTGAACTCTGATATTAAAAGTGTGCTTTGGGACGAGTGCATTACCATGCTGTGATACACTGCACTTGCTGGCAATAAGCTGCTAGTAAGCAGAGAGCTCTGCTCCAGCATCCAAATGAGCTGCAAGAATACAATTTTGTTTGTGTAACTGCAGCTCTTTTTGCCACACCTGGTATGAGGCACAAAGCTAAAAGATACTACTTTTTTACTTGATGTTCAGAAGTCTGCCCAGAAACAAGTGCATAGTGCTGACTTGAGAAGGTTCTGTGCAGAAATGATAATTGCTCAATTATTGGTCAGAGGTGTATATGAGGAGAACAAACACCAACCTTGGCTTCACTTTGTGAGAAGCTTGTCGTATTCTAGTTCTCTTCAGCTGACTTCAGCTTGACTTCAGCTCACAGGTATGTACCCAGCTACAGGCAGAAACTCCAAGGTACATTTATCAGCATGCAAACTCCTAGAGAATCTTGGCAACAAAGGAGATAAATTGTATAAAGAACAAGAACAACCTGAGGGGACAACTACTGGAATCCCTACTGCTTTGTACATCATGGAGATTTACATGGTGGGTGAGGCAGGGAATTTGAGGCTGAATCTGTAAGCCAGAGCACTCAATGCTGATTAAATGATCCTTCTGTCCCCAGCATGCTGCACTATCCAAAACTACATCTTGTGGCTGAAGGAGCTGCTCCTCCAAAGATGCCAAACAAAAGGAAGCTTCTATTCCCTGGCCACACGCCCACTCTGGGCTGATGAAAAGCTTTGCGCTCACATAGAAGGATAAAGATTCCACTCCTTGTTCAGTAAGTTTAAAATCAGTGTGGAATCTGAATGTGTTACCTAAAATCGGAATATAAAATAAATCTAGAACCAAAGGCAAGGTTTGATGGACCAAGATAAAAATTTTGGATCTAAAACCAGCCTGATTTTACACTAAACTAATACAGACTTTTTTTCTCTGACTGTGCATAGAAAGATGATACCAATTAATAGCAACATCAGAGTAACTACAAAATTGAATATCCTGGATTTATTGAACAGTAACTACCCAATTTTGGAATTTCACAATACTTAATTTATGCAGACTGCTAACATGCCAGTTTTAATCTGGTGACATTTTATTATTATGCATAGTAATGGAAAAATGTAAACTCTGCAAACATTTGGACAGTGCTAAAACTCGTCTTCCTAACACAGCCAAACCAATAGCAGCTTCTGCAAATGAAACATCATGTATTTAAAAGTTTTCACTTTATTAACAATAAATTAATCTATGGCATCACCAATCAACAAAACACTAAAGTGAGCAGATTGTCTATGTAATAATCAGAAAGGCAACATTATCACTATCTTCACAAAAACTGGAGAAATGCCAATGAACTTACATACATACACCATTTGCAACCATATGAACGCTAAGCAGAAGAAATATATTTCCAAGTTTCTCCAATTTTTCTGTTAAGTAAGGCAATAATAGAAAGCACGGCATCACAATTAATTACAACTCTAGGTACTGTGCCCTGACATAATGCAGTGCCCAAAGGAATGTGCAAAATAAACACCTGGATTTGCACTTTGATTCTTTGATGTGTAAAATTAAAAACAAACAACACAAAGTCACAACTCTTCTTGATTCCATTGTCTGGAAAAACAAAAGCAAATCTGGGAGAATCCAGATTGACAAAGATGTTCTCTGTCAGCCTGTAGTACCATTTGGAATATCTTGAGCATCTGCTAAATGTAGTTTTTGGCTGAAGTAAATCATTAAGGAGTAACACTTTCACCTACACATCCATGACATAAACAAGACAGCAGTGTTACATGAAACTCTGCTTACTCTGGGGTATGCACTAGTCCAGACAAACTCTGTTCTGGTGAACAGAGTTCCCCACCAGTAGATTCACATTTCTCAATGAGACTTGAGCATTACATACCTCCAGCATTAGCTTGTGGATCAAGTGCAATGGCAGATTATTATTATCACTATTACATATTATTATCACATTCCACTCATCCTCTTTATGAAGCCTGCCTGAAACAGCTTTCTTCAGCTATGCAGGGAATGTAGATACCAGTACAGGATCTTAAGCCCGAAAACCTAGAGCCTCACCTCCTCAATGCATTCAACGCGTGTAACAACAGAAATAACCAGATTGCAGAGTAAACTCTGTGCTACATCCTCCACTGTCATCCTGGCTTAGCAAAAGCACAGTGTAAAAGACAAGCTGAGACACTGAGCTCTATCTTCTCCAAGAGCACACGTTTGTTCAGTTACCTAAGCTCTGCTGAAGTATCCAACCCCAGAAATAAAAAATTAGGTCAGTTCACTCTCCACAGTCAGTGGTAAATGACCCCATGTGGTTCTAGAAAAAAGCCTAAAAGATAATAGAATTCACTTATCAGTGGGACAGATGTCTCTGAATACTGTTGAAGAAATATTACTATGGATGTTTGTTCCAGAATGTCTCAATAATATGCATGAAGCAAGACTCTGCTGCTGATGGGCTTTGCCACTGACAGCACATTGTGGTACACAAATGGTACATGGTAGCTAAATCAATCATTGGATAAAAAAATAACCTGTAATTAGATGTGTTAAGATACAGTCACTTATGTACTAGAAGAACCTAAAAAATCAATGCTGTATTGTAGCACTAATTTAAAAGCACAGCATCACAATTAATTACAACTCTAGGTACTGCCTGACATAATGCAGTGCTCAGAGGAACATACAAAATAAACACCTGGATTTGCACTTTGGTTCCTTGTACAAAATTAAAAAACAACACAAAGGCATTACTGAAGCAATTTGACTCTTGTAAAGACATCAGTTACTAGGGAAACACACTGCAATTTGACTACAGTTAGTAAATAAACATTTTAGGAAAAGGATACATAGATGAATTTAGTTCTTCTAGCTGCAATATAAATGTAGAAATTATGAGAAATGGAACTTCTGTTAGTCAAAGAAATGTAACAATTATGCTGGTTATGCTGAAATAAATACATTAAAACAATGAAGGAAATAACTAATAGTTTGGGCTGAAATGTATGATTTATTACAAAAATCAAATCAAACCTACACTGAATTCCATATGATGAGCTGTTCATGATTAAGTTTAAATCTGTTGATCTCAAGAAATTTAAAGAAATTTTAACAGTTCTGGTTTTTATGGAAATACACGAGACAAAGTGTAGAATATTCAGATCTATATTCCTTATTATGTGTCACCTTCCCCAGATGTAGGAGGATGGACTGCAGGGAAAGTGGTTGTAGTTCCCTAGTACATTGGGCTGTCCCTAAGCAGGCTGACATGCTCCCCTCCCCAAAGCAACCTGCAGCTGTAACAAATGAAAACAACTCCTGTGCTTTCTCAAAACCAAGAGGAGGGCAAGGTGCAACTTAGGTCACTGAAGAGCTACATTCTCCTCAACTGTAAATCACTATGCACACAGGACTGGTGTTTTCCTGAACTGAGCTTTGCTGTGGGCTAAGTTCCATGATTTCTGCCTTCACAGTACTTACATCTGACAGCAGTCTATCCAGGTTGGAATCACTGGCTAGTTTTCTTTTGTCTTCAGGGAGTTCTTCCATCTCCCCATAGAGCTCCAGATTGAGGCGAGCAAGTTTCTCCTGCATACTCCGCACGTGCTCCATCTGCTCAATGGAACATTCATTTCCTAAAAGGATAAACACAAACTTTACATAAAGAAACCCAAGAGAGAAAATGAAGGTGTGAAGATGCAGCTTTTTGCATCAGAGAATTTAAACATCAAATTTACAAGTAAATTTGCTTTCTTGATGATTTCTTACTGTTTCACTGTTGAAGTTTCTGTCATCCCATTAGATGTTGTATTGTGCTGAATTTACAGTGGCTATTCCATGTCCCAAGAGTTTTTTCTATACTCTTGAATTTTTCTCTGATTCAGAAAGGCCCTGGTTTTTAACTGAAAATACGATCAAAATAAACCTTTCCGATTCTGATTTATCTGAGGGTTGCTTATAAACAGATGGCTTATATAATACAAACTTCTCAGAATCTTTTGTGAAATCAGTGTGGACTTAACACTAAACTTGAAAAAGTACACGTGTATTTTTCTACTTAGTACAGGGGAGACAAGAAACCAAAAATGTGTAATGTTTCTTCTAAAACCTCCATCAACTGTAAAGGCTTTAAAAACACTAAGAAGCTAAGACAGAAGAGTAACCTGGGTAAAATGCAGGTTGCATTGAATTTCATAAAAGTCGTTACCAATAATCTTAAATGTTCATATGTAACAAAACTGGATGCTAAATACAGTTACTTCTTCCTACACTATCATGAGTAAGTGGCTTTAAACTTGGTATCTTAAGTGAAGGTGCTTCTGTGCTGGAAGGAATAATGAAATGGCATATAAATAATCTCACAACACAGACAACCTGACAACAGGACTGTAATTTAAAAATGCAGTAAGATGTTTTAATTATGTTGATTTCATGCGGCAGAGTCCAACTGACAGCTGGCAGTCTGTCCATACAGCACACTTGTTTGCAAATGTTACCACTGTACAGCTATAAAAAACAAGTGTTGTACACACACAGTTCATGCACTTACCAAATGCTTGAAGTTTGCCAGAGTGGAAATCATTCAAGAGACTCAGAAGTCCCCTTTCCATTTCCTGGACATCTGATACATCTGTGAGAAAAGAATGCTGGATTGGTGCTGCCTGTGCCCCTTTTGCTTCACCTCCTGGAGGTTTGGCTTTCTCTTTGATCACACTAAAAAAAAATAAAAAAATTGAACAAAACAAATATTACTTCCTGCTTTCCATTTCACTGTGAATTTGAAATGTAAGGAAGTGTACATCTGAGCTTTGAAAATTAAATGGTAAATATATAGTGCATGGTTCAGTCACTGCTTTTAAGATAAACACTGGACCACCAGCTTGTTTTAAAAATAAAGAACATCGCTATCTCAACATTTGATACTGCAAAATTATGGGTTCCAACAATCTGCTTTCCTGCTAATAGCAGGAACCATCAGTGGACCACACATCTGTGATGGCAATCTCAGTAATCTACAGTGGGCCAACATTACCCAGCAGTGACACGTAGGGCATTAGCACAGAACATTAACCCAGCACAGCCATGTTCACCACTAACCCACGTGCCCAAGTGCCCCACTCAAGTTTTTTTAACATTTCCAAGGATGGTGATTCCACCACTTCCCCAGGCAAACATTGTCTTTAAGAAATCACCCAAAAAGCATCTGCAGGCCAGAGACAAATCCCCTCAAAAATCATACTGTCCTCTTGTCACAAACGTCTGTAGACTGCAACCCATGTGGAAAAAAGCTGATTATAAGCTACGGAAGGTGACCTTACCTCCACATAAATTTTCCTAGAGCTCTTTCTTTCACCCCACAAATAATCTCCCAATTTTGTAAATCTCACCATCAAAACCACTCTCCCACTACTCTAATGTACCAAATTAAACTAGTCCATGCCCAAACATCAAATTGCTAAAAATTTTCTACAGCACTTCCTGCAAGAAAACCATCAAAATTCCTGGATCCCATACACTTCTCTCTAGACACAGCATTTATTCAGAGTGCCATGTGCCCACAGAAACTACATGGATGAAAATTAATAACCATAAATCCCCATGAACACACAACCAATATGGAAACTAAACACACAGCTACCAGTGAGAAGCAGAATGTTCCATCTCTGACCCAGAGACAGACAGGCTGCATCCTAATACAGTTTAGGTAGGAGGCTGTCCTGCAGCCTTATGATGAATCTGTTCAGAACCCAATCCAGTGAAAAAATCTGAGCCTAAAAAATTTAGAATACTATGGGATATTTAAAAAAAAAAAAAAAAGGATTTAAAAAAGAGGCTTTATTTAATTAGTGAAGATAATTTGGTTTAAAGCAGAGTAAGCCCTACAAGTCATAAATTCTCTCTTTCTTTTGGGAAATAATAATTCTTTGTCCAGCCCAAGAGCTTTTGTAGTCTGTAAACATCATATAGACTATATGCTGCAGAAACAATCAACAGTCCAACAACCACCATATCCACTCCAACTCAGAGCAGGACATCTCAGTTTAGGTTCTGCTTCAATTTCAGACTTAATGGTTTGTACAACGGATAGGTCACCCATTTTTTCCACCCTGATTCTGATGTTTAATAAAATATACTATTGGTCTTTGAAAACTTGCTTCATTGGATTCTTGCAGATGAAGTGAAAATTAACTTCACTTGGTAAAAATACTCTTACTCCATTATCACAATAGCAGTTCACCTCACATTACTATGTCAATTACGTCTTCTTGGAAAGTTCAAACAATTGTATTAGCACTGCTTGGTAAGTTTAACAATTGTGCAAGAATGGCCAGAACTTAAAGTAAAAGGGCATTTCCTTCTCTAGACAATCTTGTGGCTTGCAAGAAATTAATTTCTAGTAAATTCCAGGAAAATGCTGAGACTGAGAATGAGTAGACTGTTCAGTCAACAGAACTGGTGCAGAAGCCACCAATTTATAGCACATTAGTATTTACTTATATTTCCCTCTAAGTATTAACACATTTTTCCTGAAAAATAATGTACAGACTTTACATTGCAGAAATTCATTATTCATCAGGCCAATACTGCATCCTTCAAACAGACTCTCTGTGCTGATGCTGGCAGTTCTGTATTTAATCTTCAGGTAAAACTCAGGTCAGTAAATTCTGCTGCCTCTCTCCAGCTAACATTTCATTTTAAAATTCCTCTTCATTTATTTATGCTACCATGTCTGCCACAGCCAAGAAACACATTTTCTAACGTGCAGGGAAATGAATGTTCTCAAACTGAAAGAGATGTGTCATCAACAAAACAAAATATTCTGACGTGGTCCTTTCTGAAGAACTGATTGTCTCTACTTAAGACACCAACTGAGAGGTTCCCAATCACAAAACCTGGAAATTCCAGTTCTAGCTCATCCTGTTCAATTTATGTCCTTCATTTCCTGCTGTACTTATGAGTTCTGACATTGCAGTCATTTAATATTTTATTTGTTGCTCACAGCTGTACATCTGGGGCCCTACTATCTCCCATAAGATGCCCAAATCTGACCACCCAACTCATGTCTTTCACCAGTCACATCAGGCTATGCTCTGCTTCAGCTAAACTGCTGTCAGTATGAGTCTACAGCATTGTGTAACATTTCATTAAGCTTACAAGAAGAGTGTAAAACGTGTTCCTTTGCTGTAAAATAGCCATTGTACTGCATTAAACGCAAATTACATTGTTATAAAAGACACATCATCAAAACTTTTCAGAAGTCTGAAACTCTTCTGTCACAGCCAGTCTAAACAACCTTTAGACTATCTTAGCATTGCCAAGTTTCTGGCTCCCACTTTTTTTAGGTCTGCACATGTCAAGAGCTTACCGTTTTAACTTTGGTTTTTGCACGGCAGGCTGTGGGGCAGGGTTGGAAAAGGCTGTACTTTTACTGACTGGCACTGAGCTTTTCTTGGAGTTAGCAACCTGAGTAGAGTGACTGGAAGATGATTTGGGGCTCCTCCTCTTGATCTTCCTTTCCTCCATTTCTTCCAATTTACTACATCTAGACTAATGTCTTGTCCTTCGTAGGGAAGAAAAAAAAAATGAGAAACATCCATTAAAACTGGCATTCACGATAAAAGCAAATGGAAAGGTAGCTCATGGAAATGAAACTTGCAGTTCCTTCAGAGATGACTGGTCACTCATTTCTGAAAACAAGAGAATCCAGTTTTTAGGAGAAGCTGCCTGGCCTGCTTCATCAGCAGAAAGGGCAGGAATTAAAACCTCCATCAGCCAAAAGGTACCTCCAAATGATCTCAAGCATTGTGTCCCGTGAATTACGGCTAGGGAACACCACGACGGCTCGGGCCCACGGCATGCAAAACATCAAGTGCTGTGGCATGGGGATGCCACATCCGTGACCCGTCCGTGCCAAAGAACCGCCTCGGCTGTGGGAACGCTCAGCCGATGCCGGGTTGGTGTTGCTATGACACAGTTGTTGTTACTGCCGCCCCCAGTTGTTATTACTACTACAGCTGTTGGTGTTACACACTTGTTACTGCCGCGATACGCTTGTTGTTGCTGCCACAGCTACCGACGGGCCCTGCCCGGCTCTGCACACGCAGCCCACGCTGTGTGCGGTTACCGGGCGCTCCTTGCTCGCCGGGGAAACGCCTCCGACACCCGTTACAGCCCGGCCGTCACCCCGGGCGCCATCGCAGACCCGCCGCCACCTCCCGGGATGAGGAGACCCCTGCGCGCAGCCCCAGCCGTGTGCCGCTGCTGTATCACCGCGGAGGGTAGTAAATATACTATATAAATATTAGTCGGGAGGCGGGCTGTAGCCCGGGAGCGGCAGGAAGAGAACGGAGCCTGCCTGCCTGCCCGACCCCCGCCCCGAACCCGCGTCCCCCGCGCCCCCCGCGCCGTGAGGCACGCAGGCCCCGCCCCCTACCTGAGGGAAGCCCCGCCCCCGGAGCGCGCGCGCGGACCCCCGCGGAAGCGGCCTGCTCGTCCCGGCACGCGGGTCACGTGACGGCGGCGCGGCCCGCTGCGCCGCGAGGTGCATGCTGGGAGTCCCGCCCCAAGCCGCCAGCTCCCCCGCGGACGGACTACAGCTCCCAGAACCCCTCGCGGGGCGGAGCCGGGCCTTGTGCCGCCGTTCGATGGACGTCACGGCCGAGGGTTTGTCCCGAAATAGCTGATCCAAGTCCGCACGTGTTAAAACACGCGGGGAAAACCACCGCACTGCCGACCTGGTCCTTTTCCCAGCTGGCGTCGTGCGGTAGCGCTCTTCCTTCTCCCCTGCTCACTCCAGTTCCTGCCTGCAATTGCATTTTAGCCACAAGCAGCTCGATAGTGGACAGGCCTCAGCTGGTTTTGCTTTTTAAGACTTCACTGAGCATCGGGCACCTCAAATGAACGTTTTACACTGTATGGAAAATCACAGCATCATTAGGGTTGGAAGGGAGGTGTGGAGATCATCTCGCACAACCCCGTGCCGAGGCAGGGTCACCTAGAGCAGGTGACACAGGAACGCGTCGAGGTGGGGATTGAATGTCTCCAGAGAGAGACTCCACGACCTCCCTGGGCAGCCTGTGCCACTCCTCTGGCACCCTCAGTGTAAGGAGGCTGTGCCTCGTGTCGAGGTGAAACTTCTTGTTTGACTTTGTGGGGCCCTAATCAGCGACCTGACTCATTTATAGCCTTTGTTACCTGTGTTTATTAGCAAAAGTTTACAGCCAGTTGAACTGTGCTTATGCAGGAGGCAACTGAGCCCTCCGGGAAATTATCCTCAGGTGTTGCAAAGCATCGCTATCTCCAGATAGGGTCGGCAATAGGAATTCTCTCCAAGAGGACATGCTGGAAGAACTCAGTATAGTCACATGGAGCTGTATGTGCGAGGAATGCTGCCAGTGGAACAGCAAGTTCCTGACAAGAGGACATATTATTAAGCTGAACCAGGGCAAGTTTAGCTTAGGCATTAGGAGGAATTTCTTCCCAGGAAGAGTGACTAGCCATTGGAACGGGCTACTCTGGAAGGCGGTGGAGTCACCATCCCCGGATGTTGTTGAGACTGGACAGGGCACTGAGTGTCACGGTCTAGTTGGCAAGGCAGTGTTCGATCACAGGTTGAACTCGGTGATCTCAGAGGTGTTTCCCAACCCGGTTGTTTCTGTGACCCCGTAGCCCTGCAGGGGGAAGGCTGGTAGGAGAGCGGAGCGGTCGGCAGCGCGGTCCGTGCCCGGGGCTCTCGGGGCCGTGTCGGTGTGACCCGCAGTGGCACGGGCTGGACGGCCCCGGCAGTGCCGGTCCCCGCCCGCAGGGGGCAGCGCCTCCCCGCGCTCCGGGGCTCTGCCGGCCGCTCCTTTCCCGGCTCCCCGGCTCTCTCCGCCAAGGCACTGCGGGTCGGAACGGGTCTCATGAACAAGGAGACATCCTCACACACATCCTCATCCCCGGGATGTGCCCGGAACGGCTATCGTCCCAGCTAAACGAGGAACCCTGCTGCCACGCTGAGTGGGATGCAGCTCTCAGTGTCATTTCCGACCTCGATTTCAGCCCCGCGTCGTTGGTTTGCAGGAACTTAATTTTCAAGTCAGGCAGTATAATTAGCAGGGTGTGCCTACCTAGACTGAGTAATTAACGAGTTCAGCCCCACCAAGTCTATTCCTGGTGCTGTCGCTATTGCATTTCTGGTCACGTCTCTCCTCAGTGCTAGCTGCCAGTCACGGCTTTGTTGAATTGAATGGTCGGCACACCTTTCTTACCTATGGCTGGTAGCCTGAGTTGTTTCCCCCCCCCATGTAGTTTGTGGCCTAGAGAAATTAACTTATCAACTATCTCTACAACTTGTCAGCTTGAATTTCTTAAACCTGCAACGAGATCTTCTTTTTCACTTGAGAAGCGTGTTGCTCATTATGGTATGTTTTGTGGTGAGGATTCTCAGACATTATTCACACACCAGCTGTGAGAGCTGGTATAATCTACACCACCCACAGTGAAAACGTTGACCAGAAGCTTTACTGGTGTTTGCAATTGTACGTCTCAGTATGAAGCTACCTCGTGACTTAACAGGTGTGCAGCGCCTAGAATCCCTACCTCTGTCTAAACTGTCCATGATACCAAGAGAATGGTTCTCCAGTCGTACCCTGATACTGAACCTTCTTATGGACCTTGAATTAGACCTGAGGGGCTATTAAATAGCAGTGTCTTGTTGAGACTTGGTTAGGATGTTACAGTTGTGAGACTCAGTGTCTGCTTTGAGACCCAAAAGGGAAGATTGTCTGTCAAAGGGAGATTGCATTTAAAGTGACTCTCAGGTGAATGACAGGGACCAGATGTCCACTGAGGGTCATCCTACAGTCAAAGTAATTCCTTGCAGCAGGACACAGTTTGGTTCTGAGGAGCTGGATCACTTCTGGTACATTAAGATCCATCTTGTTGTTGCAAGAGGCATGTGATAGACCAATGATACACTGACAGCTCACTTGTGGAAATAAACAACCTAAGGGTGTTTGCATGTAAGCAACTGAGAAGAAAGAAGTTAATCTCTGTAACACTGGAGATGCATTACACAAAAAGGCAGTGGTACAAGACTTCAGGGACAGGTAGAGAAGCTGAAACAGATGATTCTGTAATACAAAGGGCTTCTGATATCTGGTTTGGCATGCGTTCCAGGGAAACCAAGAGCTAGCAAAAGTCAGGCTGTGAGCCAGACACAAATTCTCAGTCACAGAGCTGCCCAAGTAGAATCCCCATATGCATAAATATATAGGGGGTTACAAAAAGTGGACAAATTGAAACTTACAGGCAGGTTTCTGCAGCCAGTTGGGAAATTTGTATGATATAAATACTGCTTCTCCATGCTAACTTTGAAAATGTTTGTGTTCATTCAGCTCATTTCTCACATGCTATATGAGCAAGTAAATGTACCCGCCTTGCAGTTCATATATAGAGGTGTGGTTTGTTTTTCCCCATGTGATTAAAGGTGTTTTGCTTGACAGTTTGGATGGAAGGTGACCGGGTGTCCTTTGTTACTACCAAAGCAGTTAAAATAGAATGACTGATGGTCTGTTTTTAAATAAAGGGGAAATGCTTCCATCACTAAGCAATTTTAAAATAAAATTGCTTTCATATCCATGAAGCAGTTGGATTCCACAGTTAACCCTGCTTCAGTTTAGTGTCTCAGTAGGAGGGATCAAATACTACAGAAAAGAGTAAATTTTAGTATGCAGGTACTATTTTGCTCCAAGTGAATTTCTTACCCCTGCACACTACATCACATTAGAATTATTTATTATTTAGGTGCCTCTGTTATTTTTATATCTGATTTAGCAGAGCCTACAAGGGCAGATAATTGGAAAGCAGCAGACTTTGTTTTCATAGAGAAAGTAATTTTATAGTGAATAATTAATTTCTTTTAAAAGCTAATAGTAAGTTAAGAGCAAAGAATCAAAGGTAGTATGGTCTTGATTTGATACTAGAAATCCTATTGCAGATAACACTACTGCCTAGAATCAAATAAAGTTTGAGGGAGAAAAAAAGGCATGTTTTGGATTATCTCTATCTGAGCTTTTGCATAATTTTATATTGTGATAATGATTCACGGTCCAGGAAAGGCTTTTTTCTTCCTTTAAAAGGCTTTTGTTCTGACAACTCCACCATGCATTACAGTGGTAGCATTTGTATATACTTGTTGACTGAAATGCTCCAAGAGTAACAGTGTTTTAATGGCAACAATGTTATTGTTAAAGCAGCAAATTAAAAAGTTAATTGACTCTGATTTTATTTACATGTATATTTCCTTACAAACTAGAGGCCCACCTTTGAAGATGCTTTGAAGAAGAACTTCAAAGAAGCTAAGTCTGTACTTTGTTTTGAGATATGCATGCAAATAAAATCAGATTCTTCTTTCTGAAAACCCTATTCAGTTAACATGAGATGGCAAGTCGGTTCTAAAGGCTTCCAAGACAGTGATGAATGCACTGGGTTCTTTAGCTTCTATAATTAATATCAGATGTATTTCACAGGTTGGCACCTTCTACTTGTGGAATCCTGACATTTGCTGTAGTATCACCTTCCAAAAAAGAGCATGGTCTGGGACATATCTGTTCATAGGAAGGAAAGTACTTATTGCTGGGTTGTGAGGAGCAGCATAACAAGGTGTGTATGTATCTATCAGCCAGATAAATGTGCAGAACAAAGCAGCAAAGTTAAAATTATACATATAACTAATTATCACTAGATTAATATGGAAGTAGAATTGAGTGGGTTAGACATGTGTATTCTTTACAGATTGGTGGTAGATATGTCCTCAAGAAATGTGACTAAAAATGTGTCAACACGTATACTTACATTGCATCTCTCTCCCCATGCTATCATTATGCTAAGTGAAGGAATATGGTCATATATAAGTATTTAGACTTAAGGATTATTACTGATCAGTTTCCACATCTCTAGCATGAATACTCCAGTGCTGTTATACAAAATCAAGCAGTTTAAAGTCCCCACCAGTATCGTGTGCTTATAAAGTGTTCTGATTGCAAAAAATCAATACTTGATTAGCTACCAAGACATTAAATATATGACCTGTGTAAAAGCTGAACAAATCTTTTACCTGAATGTGGATGGAGAATAAACCACCTCCTTGGGCCAGCAGTGTGGTGAATCAGGCACCGAGGACATAGTGATGAGGGAGGAAGGAGGGAAAACAGAAGGGACTTGCTGAATCCCACCCCAGGAACTAGGCCTCTAGGACCCAAATGTCCCTGTACAGACCCACCTGTCCCCCACCCCACTGCCCAGGAGTCCAGGAGCCCCACTTCAGCTCAGTCCAGAATCTTCAATTCCTGCCTAAGCTAAGCATCTCCAACTCTCTCTTCAGCTTCTGGATGGGCACCTGGAAAATTATTTTTTTAAGAATTTTATTAATATATCCGCTAGTTAGTCTGGATTTCACAATCCCAGTATCATGGAAATAATACCGGTTGGAAAG